AAATTTTAATATACAATACATATATAAGTTTTTTCATTTTGAATAGTGGCCGGATAATTTTGATCGCCCTCTGTACAAGTATGAAGAGCCTCTGTTTGGACCTTTCTTTGGATGCAACCTCTTTAGTTGGATAGTCGTTTATCTGGAATTAACTGGACATCTAGGTTTTTATAGAGTTGTGTTGCCTATTTTAATAATTCCTTTTTGTACCTATTTCCCTTCTTAGGAGGGTTGTTAGTTTTTAAATTTTATTTAAAAGTTGGAATTGAAGAGCATTTAGAAATTACGTTGCTGTATTGACAACCTCATTTGAATTTCTTTTTGACGGTTTAATCATTAAATATGGATTTCTTGGTTAGGTTGGAGAGGGATTCTGGTGATCAGTTGGTCTAAATAAGTTTGAGCTTTTATTAGCAATAGAACTACAGGAGATAGTTATAGTTTAGTTTTTTACCTACTTTGTAATTCTTCTTTGTAATTTTTATTTAGTATACAATGTAAAATTTTAATAAACTTATGACAGTACTGCATCGTTAAAAGTCAAAAAAAATAAAAAAATAAAAAAACCATTCAATTCCCTGTGACTAGACGAATCCAATGAGCTAACATTCATTGATTTTAGATTAGCACATCTCGAGATATTTGCGATTGTATTTCGAAATCCAGACTCCTTTATTTAAAGTAGAATTTATTGATTCATAATTTCAATCGATAATACAATTGCGATTATCTTGAGATTGGAGATCCAAAATCAATGAATGTTAGCTTATTGGATTCGTCTAGTCGCGGGGAATCAAATGGTAGTTGTTTCATATGAATCGGTGCAATATTGACTGAGATCATACATCTTTTGTTTTTTTTGTTTTTTTATATATAAAAAATCATGTGATATGACATCATTTCGACCATTTTGACTATTTTGGATATCCAAAATGATCTATTTCAACTTCATGTATAGCCATGATAATACTGGGATATAATGAAGTAAAATCCAATCCTGTTACAGGCCTTTCTCTTTTAATTCCTTTTTTAGGTGAAAATACGTATGCACTAGGATATTTCCCTTTTTCTATGTCTTTAGAACTCTTGTACTAATTATCATATCTCATTTGATAGAATATGCGCTGAGAAGATTCTATACCTTCATTCAGTTTATACGATAGTATGTGTTGAAAAGAAAAACATAAGCTATGGAAGTGACTTCTCCATGCATATTTCTCGCGGTTAACAAGAAGGTGCTTTTTTCGCCTCTAAATAGACTTTTCACATTTTATTGTATAGCATATCGGCCTTACTGTCAAGACTGAATTTTTGTAAGAAAAATTTAAGTGAGCCTTCCTTTTCGACTTCAGAATGAGGAAAACGTTTTTTGAGACATACTCGTATGTCAATTGCTATACACCCTGGCAGTTTAAGAAAACTAGAAGTAAAATCCTCTTTTACACTGATTTTGATCTTAATTGGACCGCCCATATATTTCTTTTCCTCTGAATCCTCCTCGCTTTCCTTAGAATACTTAATAATATTCTTTGCTTTAAAAGTATTTTTGATCTGAATCATAATGTTTTTATGATTGGTATGACACTACATTGGAAAGATGACCCAAAACCATTAAAACAAATATGTCTTATCAATGTTGAGATAGAATCAGATCTATGCTAGATCACAATTATTTGCAGAAATCAAGTAAATCTGCTAAAAGTTTTCACTCTCTTCTGGCAAGCATTTGCCCCTGATATTCTAGTTGAGTTTAATGATTCAAACTATGATTGGCGTTTTATTATAGAGAGAACATATCATCTCAACATACTCGAATGGACTCTAGTGAATAGAAATCTTCTATAGATATATAGAATTCATGTGGACAGAGTGAGCTAGTCCGCTTGCTATTCTTGCATATATATTTGTTTATTGTAGATCATCCAGAGAGTTGAATTCCATTTTCTCAAGCCACCTTTCGGTGGAATGAGTATAAATCATCTGAAGTAGTTTCGAAATTATTTTCTTGAACAGTTTAGATGGCTTTCTTTTTCTTTCCAGTATCATTTGTATAAATTCGTAAATATGACTTTTTTTCGGTATGATAACCCCGAAAAGGGAAAGCTTTAATGTGTTCTATTTTAAATAATTTAATAATGCCAAAGAGAATTTCGCTCATCTTTTCTTCACATTCATCTGGAATCTCTCCATCTAGTATAAGAATGTCAATGAAAACTTGAATATTTATAAGAATTACCAGTGCCTTTTAGCCATTAATAAGGTGACTATAAAGACATAATACATAGCGGTATGTTCTATTTATCCTTTCTGTTGATCCTTCATTCTCAATGGCCATGAATGAATATCTTGTTGCTTAGATAAAGCATCTTCAAGAATTACCGTTAATCCCTCATCATTTCTCGTAACTATATCATCCAGAGTTAGAATATCTGATAAGTTTTTTTTTACTGGAATAGCAAATCGCTTGGCCTTCCATTTTATCTTTTTCAGCCACTGGGTGAAAAGTGAAGCAGGGGCATTGAGAAACTCTAAAAGCTCAGATTGTGTCATAGTAAAAATTTTTAGTTATATTATCTAGTATACTGTTTCAGTATAATAGCCAAGTAAAAAAGGTTAAAATAAAATAAATAATTATATATATCAAAGTGTTATTTATCTAAGAATAATATCAATGGATAGTAAATACATTTGCCAGTATTGTTTCAATGAAGGGGAGATTTGTGAGCGGGAAAGTAGGAAACCAGTAGGATGTTATATTCACTGAAAAGATGCTAGCAAATTCTATGCAAACAAGTTAAATGTGAAAGACTGACAGCTTCTGAATATGGATTTTGTTAATAGCATGTAAAAAAAGTACCACTTGAATATATATTATTATCAGAAAAAGTTGGATAAGATATTTCAGAACTGTCAGACCTTAGAGGCAATGAGTCAGGTTCTCGATAAAATAAAAATATCCGATACAATAAAGTGCTGACCTTAGAAAAATCTGCCTTAGAAAAATCTGCCTTAGGAAATTTTCGACTTTCTGAAATAGAAGCGAAATAGCAAATTAACTTTATTAGAACATTAAAATGGTTTCTTGAATGGTTTGCCTTAGGTGACCTAGGTGGTCTAGAAAAAATCAGACTTCTTTATTTTTTATTTTTTTTATTTTTAATCTATAAGTATAGTGAAAAAAATAGCATACATATAGCATATATAGTATACCAATATACATACCAAAAAAAATACCATAAAAATTTCATTTTTTTCAAGAACTTTATTTTTTACTAGGACACCTAAGGAACCTAAGGAAGATACTACAGGAATAAGATAAAATTAAAAAAGAATATAACAAACTCTGCTTTAGAAAGTGATCCAGAAAATTTTCTAATTATTTTTCTAGGACATCCTATCACTAGTATATGGTCGGGTATATGAATTTAGTATAGTCATCTTCAGAAATATTATATAAAATAATGAAGAAGACTACCCTATCACTAGTATGTGCTCAGGTATAGGTACTTTTATTGACGTATTTATTTTTCATTTTCTAAAAAAAGATACATATAGTAAGCTAGTAAGCAAATCATAAAAAGAAGACAAGAAGATATATATTTGAAAGTGAAGTCTTCTTTAGAAATATTATATAAAAAATTGGAAGAAGACTTTACTTCTAGATATGTGTTCGACTATGATATAATCTTTACATAAGACTTATTCGCTTAATTTCAGCTAACACTATTTCACAATTTAGGTCAGAACTTTAGATATAATATTTTGACATCTAAGCTAGCATAAACTGGTGAACTAATAAAACATCTCTAGCTCTCCTCCAGTTCTATGACAGTTTAAGAGAGTTCTGTGACACTACCAGAATGTTATTATGATACTTTCATGATACCAAATTGGATTCTTAAATCACATGCCCAAAAGATCGATTAGAGTTATATCATAAAGCTAGCTAAAATTAATCGCAAATTTATTACGCTACCTATCACCTCATTTTTACACCATTTAGTATTTTAAAAAGCAATCAAATATGTGTCAATTCTTAATATAAAACTAATAACTAAATAAGCATAGAGTGTCAGTATCCTTAACATGGAACCAGGCATTCAAATAAGGATAGAAAGCTAATATCAACAATGTAGAATTTATAATGTAAATGAATTAGGAATAAGAAGAAAGCAATCACCATTAGATCATAACATCACTATTAAATTAAAGCATTACCATCTACTATTAGACTATGAAATCACTATCATATTATACAGGAAATGATTGAAACAATGTTATAAATACAAAGAAGCTACCTATAAGTAGATTATGAAGTCTCTATCAGATTATGAATAGTAGGTTATGAAGTTATTACCAGATCATGAAGTTAGATTATGAAATCACTACCATATTATGAAGTTACTAGCAGACTATAAAGTAACCATTATGTTATGAAGTTATCAGTAGACTATGAAGTTACCATTATATAGGAGCTGATCTATTAAAAGTGAATTACAAGACATAGTAAATCATATGATCTGTACCTCAATTTTAATAAAATACTACCTATATTATGAAGTTGCCAGCAGATTATGAAGTTACCTTCATAACCTAACTCAAGTTGTATGTGACTTTCATAATATAATTATATTATGAAAGTCATATACGATCGATGTTGATACAACTTCAAATTCCATTCCTTTCAATATTGATATTCTAAAACAGACTATGAATGACTTTATGTATACTCCTAATAACACTGACAACATGTTTGAAAACACTGGTTTTGAATATATTCTACCTATCACTGACAAAGGAAAACAAAAACAATCTTGGTCTGATGAAATTGAACGAAATGAAGGTCACATGACCAAGAAAAACAAGGGCTACTTATAACATTATTACTGCTCTTACGTGTTTTTTTGCAAATGATAATGCATCAGATATAAAAGGAAATACCATTGCAGAAAAACATACATTTATCAATTTTTTATTTGTTAGATACAATGGTTATCAAGTCTTCACCTACGTTTTCAAATTTAGAAAATACACAGTCTATTTCCGTTTGATAGAAGAAATGACACATACTACAAAAAACATAACATAATCTTATATTTATAATTATTAATCCTACAGCTAAAAAACTCAAACAAGATGCCGAAAAGAAAAGGACTCTTAAAGTATCAGATATTCACATATTTGTTAAATCTAACATTTTACGAAACTATTTTTTCAGATGTGAAGCAATCACTAGATTTTCAATGATCATCAGGGGTCTGTAATAGATTACTTTTATCATATTCAAAAATGCTAACATCATCAAACCATTCTATGATAAACTTTGGTCAATCAAATTCCTTGAAATCGCTTTCAGAGTTGAACCAACTGACCTCAATCCAATGCAGATCACTTTATGATAACAATATGAACTGAAACTTACTGGTCTTCCTTTTAACACTGACCAACAATAATTAGATGACTTTTTTGCACATATTAATACCAGAATGTGTTTTATTTCACATGATCAACTATATTGATTCAGACCATATGCTTTCATAAATTTCGCAACTTCCAAAGACCTTGATGCTGCAGTAATGCAATCTTAAAAATTTAAAGGAAAAACTTTGTACTGGATGGAGCCATCTACTAAACATTGTCAAAGCTACAGAGCTCCTATGCATGAATACAAAGATTGTACAAATTGTAAACCATCCAATCCCTACAAACTGCTCTATAATAGTTTAAACCAGAATCCTACCATCCCCCATGAAACACAACGTTCAATAAATTTAACAGTTCTACACCATATATTAACACCTTCAAAAATATTTCCCACAAGAAAGATGACAACTATTTACTTCTAGTAGCATCTAATGTTACTGACGTTTTAAAACTTGTTTAAGAAAAACTTGACAGTATGGAAAACAAACTTATCATGATTTGTGATGAGACAATTTCTATTAAAAAGACCTAACTAAATTCCAGCAAAATGAAGAAGATATAGGTTTCTGATTAAATCGCCTAAAAATCATACATAATATCAAATATGACGTAAATACACTAACTACATCTTTCCTTTGCATGACGAGTATTTTCAAATGAAGATACTATTTTACCTCTGATTAAAGATTCTTAAACATCAGCTATTCCCAACGATATAATAATTTCCTTTACTACTAATACAGAAAACTTCCAACGAATTGATCCCGTTGAATCATCAGTTAATGAAATCAAAAATGAAATGAGGAATTTGATCACCCTATCATTCAAGTGAATATTAACTTCCAATGATAGTACAACCTTAAACAACAAATAGAAATGGAATGTCCTTTACAATTCCATTAATAAATCACAAAATTACTAATGCAAAACTCCTTTCAACTATTAATAATCCTAATTTACTTTCAATTGCTACACACAATGTTCAAAGCTGTGTATCATCAAACCAACTCCAACAAATTGAAAAATTTTTATTAATTTTAATTTAGATATTCTAGATCTTAGTGAAACTCATCTTACCTATCTCTAAGCTAGAACTCTTAACAATAATTTTCATGACAAATCATATATATTTTCTT